ACTGAAGTTCAGAGGGACACAAGTGCGGTATCATTCGGGACCATTCGGGACAGTGCCCGGTCCAATACCGAGAGAATATTGGCCGGCAATAGAGCATTTTGATTGGTTGATTTTAGTTATTGGCCCTCTGACTGCCCGAGTCGTGTAATAACACTAAGTTATCGATTTGCATTGTTTAGCCACCTCTTGTTTTGTTACGTGACACCTGTGTGCGTCCGTCGCGCGTTACCGACACACGCAGGATTGAAAACACAAGTTGAAAAATTTAAAGAAAATTCTTACTCAAAGCCAGATATTTCAAAAGAAATCAAATCCAAATCCTTCCCAAACCGTTCCTTGCTCTTCTCTAATCCCAGTATCATGGTCACTGAGCCTCGGACTCTCCCATGTGTACGTTTAGGACCGAGGAAAAGCTTCAATTGAACGAGAATCGCGTTAATCACAGTTTTCAGAAATCAAACTAACATAACGCGGGGTGCTTTGCAAGTGAGACGTTACGGTCAACCGTCTTAAACTTATTTTCTGACGAAGACTCTGCGAAAACGTTCTGTAATATTGTTATGAACTTCGCCCCCCTCCCTCCCCTCCCTCCCCTCTCTCATTTGTGGTGAATTGCCAGTCAACTTTCTCTCACGGTACTCCATTATAATCTATCGCCGACGATTGATCAACCTTCGCTCCCCCTGAAAACCATGTGATCCTCCTGAAATCCTTCTTACCCCCCACTCTCTCCCTCAGGCGACATTTTATTACTGGTACGTAAGGTCACAGTTTAACTGCAGACTCTGCGATCTCCATTCTCTCAAACTGGAACCAAGTCCATGCTACGGGGCTCTTCGGCGAGGAAGTGAAACAAACAACCCCCTTCTCCCTGATAACTAATCCTATGTGAACCAATCAGCTGCTGTGTGGTTGTGTCCTTTATGAGCAAAGAATGGCTCTAAGTTTTGTCTTCCTACTGGAAAGAAGAAGGAAGTGAGTTGTTTCCATTTGGCTGGAATTAAATTATTTTGCGTAAAACCTGCTTTTCATATGTCCAAAGCGAGCCGGTCGACAAAATTCAGCGGATATAGAGATGATTTGGACGACAACAAATTTGAAAGCAAAGGAGATTCAGTTCTAACTGCTGTTTTATTATCAGTACCTATTCTGACTCTTTCCCTTCTGCAATTTTTAATGCTGTTCTTTGTTCCAGTCAAAATCTGATCGCACAGCTATATCATCTCACTAAGTATAAGTACATTCTCGTCTCTGCCAGTTTACTCTTTCGAGAACGAAGTGCTCACATTCTTAGTCAACGGCCATAAGGGTTCAGTTATTAACATGGACGACACTTAACGACCGATTGTAAATTACGCGAGATGAAATATTTTTTCTGCGAGACATGTTCCGCAGTATGTTCACGATAGCTTGTCGAATGTGTCTTATCTTCCAGCAATAAATGATAGGCCGGGTTCAAAGATGAGTTAAGATACTTGAGAGACAGAGTGAAAAGGACAAAAAATTATCAAAGCGGAACTGGTGCCATTGGTTCTACAAGCAGCAATGGCTGTAGAAAAAGGCAGATAAACTAAAAACACGCGATATCCGTAGAATATGTCAACTGCAGATTTAATTTGGGCAGAAAGGTTTGTCATTTCACCAGTTTGGGCAACTTCTTGTAGCCGCACGGACTGAATATGATTCTTGTGCCGTCGAACAGTTCATTATATTTTGAGTAATTTTAGTTCCTTAAGCTGCAGAAACCCTCAGTAACAAGGAGTCTTATGAAGTAGAAAGTCTAATGACATAGAAAATAATGCCATTACACAACTGAGCTGCCACGAAATTAATAAGACCAAAGGGAATAATTCGGCAAGTTGTCTCTCTGCGTGAAACGAAAGCAGTTTGGATTTACTTATGTACGTTTGTTATGTTAATGTAGTGAATGAGACGTTTGTATGGAGCAGGTAGTAGTTGACACCTGTTTAGGGGAGTCTCTTCTAAGTTAGTAAACCAGCTTTCCAGAGTCAGTCATTGAAAGTAGTTGGTGCTGTAGGTTAGTCAATATTGTGGTTCATAAGTCGATGATGTTCAGCGATGTGATTGTTTACATCACTAAACCAACTATGGCGATTAATGATGAATAATTTCGCATTTTCTGTGGCGTGCTGTAGAAACATACAAACAGTCAAACTTAAAATATTTAGATATTCGTCAGCGCTTACCCACAGCCTGAGATTATCAGTCCTACTGAGATACTTTCGATTTGGTTTCCAATCCTAGAGCTGACTGGTGAATTTCAGTGGGACTCATTGATGTCCCCTTCGTAAGAAAAATCACCTCGAGCTCGCTCTTGCCAGGGGTAGATGGAATTAACTATGATGGAAACCATCTATCTACACGTCGAATTATATCAATTTTAAGGTACTAGGTCGCGCTAGTCCTACATAATGGTGTATGACGCATATGCATGCATCGATGATGCGCACGCAACATGACGTTTGCATACAGTGCATTATCACTTCAGCAGCAAAGTTCCTTTCGAGTCTAGCTGCAAGGTTTCAATCCCTTTGAGATTGTTTTTCCGCGCCATCCCGGTTGAAATGGACCTTTCACAACTCAAATTGTGAACTAATATGCTAAATACAATGAATACGTAGCTCTGTCAAGCGATGCCGGAAACTGATTAGCTGTGGAGCTCATGATACTTTAATCCCAAACTTTGGATAAACGCTAGTGTTGCTCTCTGGTTTCTCTCTGCTACGCCACGAGAAACTCTTACGCTTCTCTCGTGCTCTCAAAACCTCCCGCAAGCGTCCATAACTGGATATACGCATGCCAAACATGAACCAGTTCTGAAATAAGGGGGAAACTAAAAGAGACTTCAATAACCGCTCATAATATGCTGTAGAGAAAGAGCGGAAATCGAAAATTAAAATGATAATGATGCATTTATATGGGCAAGATATTGACATTCCTCTGTGATTGTTTTCGACAAGGCTAAGTTTGTATTTCGCGAGGGAAGACAAATTTTCTTTTCCTTTAATAATCGCTGAGGATAAGAGTTAAATTACCCAGTTAACAAATTTAGTTAATTTTCCATAGACATCTGTTGGGCCTCTACAGATTCTGACGAGGTGTTCCTGTCATCTGTCGTACTTTTTATGTCAACTTTGGCTTTCTTCTTTTCCTGCAAATTGTTTCAAAGATGTATGTCATCGTTTTGACTTGGTTTGGTTTTCTTTTTCAATGCAGTTTGTAATTCGCATTTCTGACACATTGTTGAGGTACAAGGGAAACTCTGATGGATAAAAACATTTCGGTAAGAGATTAAATGCAGTTTTTTACGGCAGAACACGTACTTTTCTGTTAAAGATTTTTACTCTTCCCGACAACGCAAGTCTTCTTTTCATTTCCCTCCGTTTGAGAATCCTGAGAGCCTGCCGAGGGTTGGCATACACTGGTGTCGACCATCCGTCCTGTAGTTCTGCTGGGGGCAGCAGAAATTTGCCTCGGGAATCAACGACAGGAAACTGATATAAAAACAAAGCATCTTTCAAAAAAGTATTTTACATACAGATTCCCATCTGTCGGAGGTGTTTTTTTTTTTTTCAAGGAGGAAACCTGTACGTGTGTTATTGTTTATAAGGGTGCGTTAATCAGTCCATAGAGTGGACAGAAAAAAAAGTGAAACTGTAGATAAATAACTACACGTTTAACGCATATTTAACTTATTTGCTAGATGGACCTCTATTCAGATGTAAAATCTCATTGTTCTCTACCGGTTAACACTACCTTTGATTCCAAAGTTTGCGCTCGGTTTTCAGTTTTCATTGGATTGGCTGTCTTGACATTACACTCTGAAAAATACACACAAACGTAATTTGATTTTCGGCTCCAAACACCGAGTTTCAGCTTTTTTAAAGCTCGAGAAAGAGCAGCTTGAGCTATACTGCAAATAGTACTTTAATATAAAGGACAATGGTCTGAACTGGGGAAATAAAAACGATTTCCTAGCTACGTTAAACGAACCTTCGTTTTCCATGCTGACAAGGAATTCAACACAGTTATTGTGTCATAGAGCATAAGCGCACGCGCACTTGGTAGAAATCTTAAGCCCCGCGCCTGAAAAAGATTGAAAACCGTTATATTTCCACGGTTCGCCCACCGTTCACTCTAGTCCGGATAAATTCTTAACTTTACTGCAAAACAATGGCTTGGTAATCTTGTGTGACGTAGATACTGAATACGGAGTTTATTCAAACTTGGAGAGACAAAAGTATAACGAGCGTTTACTCTTACAATTTTTCTGACTACTTGATATTTGAAGATTACCCCTGCACACAGCTTGTAGACGTTAAAATTGTGAATCTTACAAGTTGTTCCTTTGACAACAAGGCAAGCAACACTAATATTCGCGGCAAAACTTAGGAAAATAAGTCTATCGTGAAATGGGCTCTTCGCTTTCCCAGAAAATCAGAATGCTAAATTCAGTATTATTGATTCCCTTATACATCATCTGTTGCCATATGATGCTTGCTTACAGCTTAAACAATATATTCCATTTTCCCATGTGTTTGTTCAGAAAACAGTGTAGTCACCCGGCAGTCATCTCCTCTTGTTCTTTCAAGAACATGGAAGACTTCAAAGAGGTGAGAACATCACAAGCGCACGAGCCGAATTTTGTCCTTGCCTTATTTTGACGTCATCTATAATCTATAATTGAACAGACAGTTTACGTCAAGTCGCCCGGAACCTGAGTCGTGTCGCCCGAAAAAAAAAAAGGCAAGTCACCCGACGAAACAAATACATGAAAGATCAAATAACAAAGATAAAATATCTCTAAATGTGTAACCTTTATTGTTATATTTGAGTATTTAGCCTTCTGTGCACATTTGTGGCACTAAACTAGCTACAACTATCAGTCAGAAAAATCAATGACATTTCTACCTAATAATTATAGTAAGTTTCCTTTTCACCCTCTGTCAATACTTTATAATATAAAACATCTTTTGACAGTTTTTTAAGTGAATGAGTGCATTATTATGGACTACTTGTGGGAGGAACCACTGACACAGGGACATGACAATGATGAAGGCAATAGTCACTAACACTTCCTAACAGTGTCCGCCGCACAGTCCCAAGTCCTCGACTTCCCATCACAATGTGATTTGCATTTTCTTTATTTGCGGTGTGACATATAACCTCTCCAGCTCTGCCAATTTCTGTGATCAGCTTGAAGTTATACTACAAACAGAGAACAAACCAAAATAATGAAAAAAAAAAAAAAAAAAAAAAAAAAAAGATAAATAAAAAATAAAAATAAAGCTAGGGGATCAAGGAGTAAATTAATTGAAAATATCTACAAAAAATAGTCTACGGATCTAGTTGAAGGATTTAACAAAGAGTTTATCACAGACACATTTAACTGAATGAAATATTAGCAAGGAAAACCTTGCTGCCCACAGAGATGCACCCCTCTCCTCTGCCAAACAAATAAAATAAAAAATAAAAATACATATCAAAATTTCAAAACAAACACCCAATACTACTCTTCCCTCAGAGTTTCTTCCAAGGACTAAGGGTGTCAATTTTTGTAGTATTTTCATTTATCTGATTTTTTCAGCAGCAAGTTATATTTTAATATCAAAAACAAACAACAAATTCAACAGTCAAGAATCAAAGCCTGCCAAATTTTCAAGCTAAAAAAGATTCTTTAGGACATGCCAAACTTTTGTGCTTAATATACTTGCCAATAAATCCTGTCTCTGCCCTTTTTAAAGGGAGCAGACAAATAAGTTGAAAAATTATTTTTACATCCACCATGGAAAAAAAGAAACATACAAAATGATAAGGGCCAAAAATAACATTTATTTCAGAAACTCTACATCTGAGAAGTACTTGCTCCAGCAAATCTGGAAGGAACTGATGGAAGACTAATGCCTAGCTTCCTTTTGAAACTTCAGTGACTAGTATTTGATTACATATTGAGCAATATCAGTGACCTAAAGTGTTTTTAAAGATTGCTTCATGTCACCTTCTTATTTCTGCACGTATTGGCAAATGTTTCCATCATCTCCTTTGTCTCATTTTGACTTTTCCCAAGCCATGACATGTAATTGTTTCGAAATGCCATCCCATCTGCAGCAGAAGGGTATTTATAGGAATACTCAATTATATAAAAACACATATTCAAGAGATGATTTGAAAATATAGAGAACAATAGTTCTTTTCTATTTGTGCTTCTGTCATGGAGACATTGCCTCACATGTAAAAGAGATAGATTTTGAACTTACGTGGGTGCATTACAACAGGTCTTTTCTCCATTTCAATGGCATGTGTGAAAACAAGTTTGTCACCTGGCTTGTACAAATTGGCACAGTACCCTAAAACAAATTGGGTTGAACTTAAGATGACATTATTCAGTTGATGATAAAATTTCCAAATCATAAGCTCTTTTGATGAGACCACTATACTCTTAATCAAACCAAGTTCACATATTAAGCAACACAAATACTGAAATAAAAATACTTTTAAAAACATATCACATGCCACTCTAGATGCAAAAAAAAAAAAATAATGTAGACTCGCGTGTACATAAAATGAAAAAAACTCTAAGGACCCTAGAGGGGTCCAGTATCCCCATCAGATCTTTTGAAATGGAGGTTTTTGCCTTCAGGCAATGAATGCACAGTAATTAAAAACCTCCCAAAGAACCCAGCAAACCTTATCAGAGAGGCCAGTGAAGATCTAACTATTGCTAAACTTTACCATTCATCATTAACTATCAGTCAAAGAATATTATACAGACCCTCCTCTTGTTGACCTATTTGAGTTTCAGATAGTAATGCTGGGAAAATTAAAAACTTCGTCCCACTGACTCACGAAAGGTCTTCTAAAATCTCTTCCAAATGGCGCGGGCCTATACCAGGATCGCCTGACCACGAAAAACGTGCCCCTTTGTCCACCTTCAACCTTTGGCCACAAAAATTGAAATTTTCGATAAATTTTAAGCAGATATTTACAAATTATTTTTTTTCAACTCACAATCGAAAGCATTTTTGCAATGCTCACTCCCGTCCACCGCAATCACTACCGTGTTCTGTTCTGCCTCTGTCATGTTTACAAGCTAGTAATGCAAAGATGGCGGCGATCTGTTCAACTTAACCCAGAAGTACTGGAACAAAGTTTAGTTCCCAGGTCTAAATGAAACTTACCGTGGTATGGGAGTCCCCGGCACACAGTCTTTCATATTTCCCCTATTAGTAAGCGATTTAAAAAGCCTAAAAAGGTGTTTTTTTTTCCTGTTTAACCGCGGAGAAAACACTCTGATCAAACAAACACGCCCTTCTCTCTTAACTTTAATAGTTTTCGCTATCCCTTCGTCATCTTCTTTACGGATTCGTGCACACGACCATCTCTAAAACCTAAATCACTTTTGTAGTGTTGGGTGCTACGATATACCATGCAAGATAAAATGTGACAAATTGCTGTGACTCATCATAAAACAAAACATGCGCACTTAAACAGCATGCTGTGTCACGGGGAAGGGCTTTTAATGATCACTTACTTCTGAAAAAGTTAACAATGCTTATTGTACCATGACTGCGTCAGTTTAGCGAACTTTTCTTCGCTTTGTTTTCCTTAAAAAAAAAAATACACTTCAACGCTAGATGCATGGCACCTTTTTAATTTATCATCTTTTTAATTCACTAAAATAATTCAGTATACATATTTACACACTACCAGAGAAACAATTTCCCTATACCATTCTTAGAATGACAGCTATTCAGAAATCTATAATCCACGGACAAAAATATCTTTACATCTTATTTGAGATTATTTTCCATCCAAGGATAGCAATTCCTATGGATTTTGAAGTGCGCAGCAAATAAGTAAAGAGATGTGACAGAGAAGTGACCTTATTTGAATCCTGAACGTTTATTGGCCAAAAGATAGAGATGGCACTGCAGTATGGAAAAAAAAAAGAAGACAAATGACGAGGTTAAAAAGTTGAAAACTCGGCAAACAATTATAGAGAGCAAGAAATGAAAAGTAGACTCATAAGACGATACTTTTTCTAAACGCCTCCCAAGAAGTGAGACTATCTCCATCTAAGATGGCTGGGAAACGGGTGGACCGTCAGGCAACCCAGAAGTAACCATACGCTAAAGTGTACAGTGACGTTTACTTGGCAATCCAAACGCTGCCTCAACCCAAACAGAAAGAAATATGAAATATGAAGAAGGGCAGATATATAAAGCGGACAATTGTTTTGACCATGATAAAGGAAATCTTCACACGAGCTAGAACAGTAAACGATAAGAAAAAGTCAACGAATGGACTGCATTGGTTAAAAAACATCACCTTGACTTGAAGTTACATCGAAATAATTCTACATTGTCTTGTTCATCAATTTAATTAGATTTATTTAAACTATCTGTTATCCTCTTAAGCCCCATTGGGACACTTTTCTTTGGGCCCAACTCATGGCGATCATAGATGTTCCGTTGGACATAAAACTCCTTATGGAGCCAGGTACGATACCACGGTACAGCCCAAAGAATCCGCCCTTTTCCTTTATCACCAGTCTCATACGAGCCACAACTGGAAGGTCTCTTCAAATAAAACACATATATTAAAGCTGTTATAGCTGCAAACAGAAGAAATACACCATAAAATTCAAATTTATTTGAAATAACTGAATTGCCCCGGGATAGTGACCTGGCTGTTGCTAGAGATTCGGTGGTACAACCCATGACTTAGCGTACCAGGAGTTTTCCACTCATTGAATAAAGGCTAAAAGTTTCTAAAGAAATTGAGGTGCTGCGTCGGTGGGGGTAAGAAGGTAATTTGGTTATATCAACTAGGCTGAAATTGTAAATTGGCCACCGTAACGAATAAAATAGCTGACGTTTCGAGCGTTAGCCCTTCGTCACTTGCTCTGACGGAGGGCTAACGCTCGAAACGTCAGCTATTTTATCCGTTATGATGGCCAATTTACAATTTCAACCTAGTTTTCCATTCATTGCTGTACCTTGTACTGGGCCGTATGTGATCTCCTTTTTTTCCTTTTTTTCTTCTACTTTTCTTTTCAGCCCTCCCTTAGTTTTAATATCACATTGTTTCTGATTGTGAATGGGCTTTAAAGAGCTTCGGTGACCTTTTTACCTGTTCATTGTTCGTAAGTTATATCGAAAAGTTTTAGTTCTGGTCAAACAAGCCATTGTCAGTTTTCTTTCTTTTTAAAGTGCAGCTAAAGGAAACAACATTTGCTACTGAGGATAAGCACGGAATTAAAAACTAATCGATCAAATGAAAGGAGTGCTTTGAACATACTTGCCGTAGTTCCCTTGTACTTGAGACTTCATGTTCTCCAATGGCCACACAACCCACCAGGCAAAACCACCAAAAGTCAAGGTTAAATGAACGGTGCTAACAACAAACAACCCACTTCCTTTTTCAACATGAGTAACTCTTCAACGAAAATTCTCAGAATTCCTTTGTGAATTCTTATGTAAAATTAATGTTTAGGGCTAAACTACAGAATACAGGGCCACTTTTAACCATGTACCAAACGAGCCGGCTCGTTTGGCTCGGTTGCTCTTTGGGCTGACGAAGTTAATTGCAGGCTCATACGCTCTTTATGTACATTGAGTGGCTCGTCTGGCTCGGTTGCTCCGCAGTGGATCTCAGTGATGCGTGTTTCTATTAAATTTCTCTAAGTACAAGATAAATATGAGCTTATGCAATTATCGTTATTAAGTTTGAACATCTGAAGAAAGTAGAAAGCGTTTAACTCCTTGTAATTTAACTTTCCCATCGTGTGTTTACCGCACATACATTTGACTTCAGTCCGTAGTTACCTAGACTTAAAGTAATCCTTATCAATGTCTTTATGTTTATGACGCCACATAAATTTCGCTAGTATGCAAACATTTACTATTAAACTCAACTTAACGCTTAAATCAGTGTCATCAGTTCCTGTTGTTTAGTTAGGCTGCTCTTAAGAAAACTTTAAACGGGTCGCTGTCTTTATGTTTATAACGCCACATAAATTTCACCAGTATGCAAACATTTTCTATTAAACTCAACTTAACGCTTAAATCAGTGTCATCAGTTCCTGTTGTTTAGTTAGGCTGCTCTTAAGAAAACTTTAAACGGGTCGCTGTCTTTATGTTTATAACGCCACACAAAAAATCCCTGTGTAAGACATTTTAGTTTCATTTTACTGATTTTGCCTCTCAGACATACAGACACAAAAATCATGACCATTCAAAAAAACATTCATGCAGCAAGGAAGTCTAAGGAACCCTGTATGGTAAAGAAACATGAATACTAATAGAGGGTGAAAAAAGGATACGTAGCAGCTAAACCTGACGATAGAAATGGTCCTAATATCGGTCTTTTAAAAAGTTCAGGAAAGTGTCGTCTTCCAGAATCCAAAAGTATAAAGTAAGTACACATCAGTCCCATTGTACGACACCATGTTACACCAAATCCCTAAAGCAGAGGTAATTGAATCTCAACTTACCCTTTTTGTCCCAATATCTTTTACCTAATTCACCAAACTAGTAATGAAAAATTTCCTGAGAATGTAGAGTTTTGTCAAGGCAATATCGTAAGCTGGATTATTTTCTCAATTCTCACTGCTTTAACAAAGAACAAAACTTGGAAGGATCAGGTTAACAAATTGATCAGACTAAATGTGATCAAGTTAAGTCAAAACTTGTAAGATGTTGAATATAGACTTTTATCAGAACCTTGTTCACTTATCCATGGTTAGGTTGTACCTTTTATTAACTCGAGTGAATTTCATTCAAGCAAATTTTCCACTCACTAACTGTCAGCCAAATCAAACCAATACATATCTTGAACTGGCAGTTCAAATTAATAAGGTTCTAAAAGATCGATATAGAAACTTTGGTTTTCTATGATAGATTCAATCCATTAACAAACTTATTGCCTGGTTCATGTGAACATTACATTTATAAAAGAAAAGAAAAACTAAACCTTTCAATCTTACCCTATAGAGTCCTCGGAACTGCCATGTTTGGCCTGTCTGTCTCCGTACCTAAAGTGTTAATTGACATGAATGGTAACTTACTATTCTTTACAGTGAGTACAGAAAAAGTAAAATAACAAATGAAGAACTAATTAGTGAATGTTATAGCTGTGTTTTGGTACAGGCCGTACCTTGGCCAGTTCCAAAGGAGTCTCAATTATGGCTCTTGTTGTTGATGCTGCTACTCCAGCTATCAGTACTCTTCTGCAGTACATACATACATACATACGTTAGTTGACCACTCCCCATGGGGGCTTTTCAGGGCCAATTCCCACCCATCCCACCCCAGGNGCTGTAACCAATTGAGCTAACCGGAGGTGGTTAGCAAAAAAGTCCTCTGTTTTAAGTTCAGGTTTATGAGGTTTATGACGAAGCACTATTTGGAATTATATCTTCCTGGAAAGGATGCCCGATGACCTCTGGTACCCATCCCCTCCCCTCTTCATATATTTAAAGTTTCCAAAACAGACAGTTGACTGGTCTTACCCCTAGTTAATGTTCTCTTGAATGCAGAGCGGCAATGCTAATGAAGATCTCCCCCTCTGTTAATACTAAAAAATAATCCAGCTGGGCTAAAAACCTGGACCACTTTAAAAGTTGGAGTTCACCATGTATACCCTCCATTAAGTGTAGTTTAAGCATTAATCTCCAAGAAACTAGCATGCAGCTTACCAAAAAAATTGACAATCTACTCACATTTGTAATCCACCAGTAAAGGGAAGCTCTCTTCTTCCAAATCCATTGAAATATGTGTACCTAGGAGGAAGAGTGGAAACTAACAACTAAGTAAAAGAGAAACTATAGGAACATTGAAAATATTGTTACTCAATCTTCAAGGATCATTAAAGATGCCATGATGTACTCACAGAGCTTCAAAAACAGCAAACTGACTTGATCTATAAATTCCAGATCCCCAAAGAGGTGGAATACATCCTCTAAAAGTTTTATAAAACAACCAGTGGGTTATTGTCAATTTCTTCCGAAACACATGTTGGGCCAAGAAGTTAGTACTTATGACGCCGGGTCCGGGAATCAAACCCGGGACACATTGGTGGAAGGTGAACGCTCTCACCACTAAGCCAACCCTGCTTCCCCAAGTTAAGTAAGTTAGTACTTTGAGAAAACTGCTAATTCAAACAACAAAGATTAAGTTAGAAGTGATGTGATACATTAAGGGAAAAGAAAAAAGGTAAGCAAACAGCTGTATATGCTGTGGTTCAATTTTATGCTTGGTTTAAATTTTATTTTCCATTGTTTTTGGTTATGGTAATGTATGATAATAGGGTTGAAACAATGGAATATAAAATTTAAACCAAGGATAAAATTGAACCACAACATATACATTATCTTTATTGCTGGATACTCGGATATAAATAAATTACAGAAATGATTCATAGTTTTGACCTCCATTTGGAGAATAATTTTACATAAGTTATAGATTTTGTATCCTGCACAAGAAAAATGGCTCTGCATGTAGTTGCAACTTGTCTTGCTTAGTCAACCAGGAAACTGACTTGAGCTTTCCCTTCCTGAAGGGACCTAATTATTTCTCCTCAGATAGATCTATAATTGACCCTCAAACGATCCTCGGTACATTTTGAGTCAACTAGAATACAATAAAGGACTTGAACATGATATACCTATAGAGTCCTCTGATTCCCTGTGTTTTGACTGTTTTTGCAAACGCTTTGAACATTCCTTCTGTTTCGAATCCATGTTGTGCTTGCATCTTTGTCTTGATTGTATCAAATGGATGCCCCACAGCCACACTTGTAGTTCCATAAAGAACACCAACTAATTTCAAAATGTGCATTTTTCAATACACCTTTCAAAATATAACCAAAGTTTGGTTTATGCGCGCAATTATCATCATATGACATGAAAATGTACAAATGCCATACTCATCACAGGAAACTTTAAAAATGTTTAAAAATTTTGTTTCATTACAGCTACTCGCCAAGATAAGTGTTTAAAACAAAATTATCTGGGTTAACCAGCTGAAAAGGAAAGTACAATTCCAGCCTATAAACGCTAATCCTGTTATGACCTGTACTTGATAGACCAAAGGATGTACTTTGATCGGTTCTGCAGCAATAATTCTTGGAGTAATTCCGTGACACTTCAAAGGAATTTTCCTGTGTTCAATAATATATATTACTCAACTCTTTTTTCAAACTGAGAGGCATTCTTTAGTACAGATTGTTTACATAACATTATTTGTTTAGTGGTGTTTGGGAATTTATATCATTATAAGTACTAGAGTACTTGAATTTTACGCGCGCGCTAAACGCTCCGTAAATGATTAGTTTATTCTGTCGCCACACAGAAACTTAACTTGACCGGGATTTTCTTTTTATCAAATTGAATTTAGATATCGACGAAAACTATCAATAAAATACTCAGGACAGAGAATGATCACGTTCAACGCGAATTTAATTAACTTACTGGACAGGTGCGACACAAGCTCGTTTTTACGATCACATTCCAGGATCAGTCTCATCACTTACCACCAAGACCTATAAAGCCCTCCTGGATCCAGTGGATTCTCTTCTCATTGTGAGTCATGTCTTCTTTTAAATCTTATCAGCGTGAATTGTGTGCTTCTCCAAAAATCCACCTGTACTTGTGTTGACCTGAACTCTTTGGGTACGGTATGTAAGCTGACATAAGGAGTCGACTTGACAAAAACTGGGAACTAACGGTAAAGGGACAACCTTTGGTTTCTCACCTCTGATGTATTACGGTAGTCTGAATTTCAGCCGTCTCTTCCCTTTACTACGGTGGCCCACATGGGACATGCTGCAAATTAAAAAACGTTGCTGCAAATAAAATAAACTTGCAGCAAATAAAATAAACTTGCTGCAAATTTAAAATAGTTGCTGCAAATAAAGTAAAGTTGTAGCAAATAAAATAAAGTTGCTGCAAATTTTCAAAACGAGTTGCTACAAATTTTTAAAACGAGTTGCTGTAAATTAAAGAATGTTGCTGCAAATTAAAATATCAAAAGTATGCGAGCCCACTGAACGAAGGAGGAGTGCATATTAGAATCTTTATATTTATGAGCGGTTGTTTACCACGAAAGTATTCCCTTCTATCTTCCTCTTTCTTGGCTTTAAACTTAGAGAACGTAATTGTAGATGGACTGCTGCTCTGCCGGGAACACGGGGAACGAGCTGTACTGTTATCGACCTCATCTCTCCTCGAGTCCTGCTCCTGACTCAGATTTAAGTTTCTGACCACATTGATGACAGAAATTTCTGGCTGAAGGGCATTCCCCACCGCAAGAACTACAAACATTTTAGGAAATTTGTCCCAACAGTCACACAGGCCAAGAAAAAAAAAAAAAATAACAGCTTCCCGCTCATAAATATAAAGATCTTGCTCGTTTTGCTCATTCCTCCTTCGTTCAGTGCGCGAGCATACTTTTGATGTTTTAATTTGCAGCAACATTCTTTTAATTTGCAGCAACTCGATTTGAAAATTTGCAACAACTTTATTTTATTTGTAGCAACTATTTTAAATTTGCAGCAACTTTATTTTATTTGCTGCAAGTTTATTTTATTTGCAGCAACGTTTTTTAATTTGCAACAACTTTTTAATTTGCAGCATGTCCCTAGTGGGCCACCGTACTTTAACCCAAGAGGGGTGCATCCCCCTTGGGGTAAAGGGAAAAGACAGCTGAAATTCAGATTAGGAGGGCAGCTACATATCTGATGTCGAATCCGACAGCTGTTTGTTTCTTTAAAATGTAAAACAAAAGATTATACGTTTCCATGTGTCTGTAGCAAGGACACCAGAGAAGCACTCAGCTGTACTTCGCGCCCTTCTGTGTTCTTACCACATTTTGACCAGACGTACTTCACCATGGAAGCCGTAGTGTCTGACGCTCCAGGTATGTATCAGTTTAAAACCGTAAACCATTTCATGACCCACAGCATTACCAGTTTAACTCTTTCAAAATATCTTTTACATTTGAGTTCACCAGATGTTATGTCATGTATCATGCTCATTACAAGAATGTAGAAACAAACATCGTCTGATGGATAGACCGGAACAAATCAGGAGGGGGGGGGCTTTAGGTCCCTTGTCACGTGGCGCTGTGGTGTTCAGTTGCCTCTCCTTTCACTTGCTCATTTTGCCCAAGGCCTTTGACTTTCATGCAGGTGAAGAAACATTTATTCTCTTTATCCATTGGTTCAGGCAGACAAAGGTGGAAATAAGTCTGTATCCTCGAAAAACAGGATATCATTTATAAAGTCATTTGGTTATATTAACTAAGTTGAAATAGTAAATTGGCCACCGTAATGAATAAAAGAGCAGACGGAGCACCACAGCAGCACCGACGCAGCACCACAGTTTCTTTAGAAACTTTCAGCCTCTATTCATTTATTTTTAAAGTCAGTTCATTATCATGGTAAAAAGGATCTTTTGCGTCCTGGTAAAAAATTGACCGTTTAAATGGCAAGGGAATTAAGAACAAAGTTTATTCACCTTCGATTTAGTCAGGAAGAAAACTTTCTTGGATGTGTCAGAGTTTTTGGTGCCGTGTGTCTACGCGTTTCAGTGTTTAAAGGAAGGGTTCGAACAGGTCATGGAAAACCTTGAAAGTCATGGAATTTCAAAATTTCATTTTCCAGGCCTGGAAAGTCATGAAATTTAGGTGTGGGCCATGGAAAGTCACGGAAAATTAATATGCTCTCTATGAGTGAAAGGCAATAAGACCCAAAGTTGAAAAGTTAACTGATGAGTCCAAAAATCAGATTTAATTTCATGTGAAATAAACAGAAGCACGCATTGTGAGAATGTTTGCAAACAGGTCATGGAATCTTTCAAAAGGTCATGAAAAAGTCGTGGAAAGTCATGGAATTTTAACAGGTCAAAAGTGTACGAACCCTGAAAGGGTTCTGCGCGAAGATTTCCGGTGAAATTTTCTGGTTAAATTCAATTTTTGGCTTCCTTAAGCAGTCTTTAATTATAGTGCCATTTCATCCCACCGTACTCGTTATCAAAATTTGACTGCCCTGGTCGATCTTTTTGAGACTAGAAGTCCAAAGTGTTCAGAGATGTGACTCAACTGAGTCTCCAGCAAGTTCATTAATCCTTTCAAGATCGACTGGTAAGCACTGTCCATGGGGAAGTTGCACATTAATCATCACGTTGTATGAAAGACCAGACTGAAGGCTCATTCGATTAAAATTTGTTCCCTTGGAGTTTAATTGCAGTAATGTCTCTGATTGATTAAGAATTGGAATTTGTCCTGTGGAGGTTTTAGTCAGTTCCTCCATGACTCTTTTATGCAAAGATGGATAAAGATCATCGTGTGGAAATACAACCTGAAATGGTAAGATAATACATTTGAAAGTGACCAAGGTTATTTACATCAAATTAAACTACTATATGTCTTACTAGCGAGAAAGTGAAATTTGGCTTAAAAAGTCAGCTTTTTAAGCAACCTTATCACTTTTAGTAGTTGATCAACTATAAGAAAGGTCATTCAAATGAAGTTTGACTTAGACTTCAGCTTTAGACTGTCAATGAACTTCAAGATTTCAGTACAAGTGTGTTTCTTAAAGTTTTTTTTAGCATTAGCTATGAGCCTTCCATTACTTTTCACAAAAACCAACCCTGGGATAATATGCATGAATAATGTAACACAGAACCACTTAAAAAAAAAACTCTGATTTGAAACTCCAATGACCACAAATTTCAAATATTAATTCCTTAATGCAGACATCTCCAGTTAATATTCTGGTTTCCATTTTTGCTTCTCAGTGGAGAGACCTACTTTAAAAGTGCAGCATACAATCCATTACTACAACTTAATAGGTAACTACATTACTACTTAATAGGTAACTACATCTAGTACTCTAAGCAGGTTAAATTTGAATATTTCCAAGAATTCAACAATGTCTCATTTGTAGCCATATCAGTTTAGTTTTACTATGAAAACAGATTGCTACTCACCAGAGTGCCATCAACACACTGTGTTATGATAGTAAGCCATTGTTCACATCCATCTGAAGCGCGGTTACGTTGAAAAGATTGGAAGTCCTCCCACTTTGGAAATCTGTATAAAAGTTATTTTGCATTTGGTTTGAGTTCAATATTGACAGTCATGGAGTTGACAATGAATTTGATTTATTCAACCAAAAGGCCATTGAAAGATCAATATTTTAATTTCTGAAAAAATATGCTTACCTGCAAAACCTTAACAGCTCATAAGCTTGAGGGAATCCAATCTTGATCTTTCGTGCCCTATATTTTGCAGAAGCTTCAGCTGGAATCATCCACTGTTGAAAAAAAAATTGTCTGCTAAAAATATTTAAAAAAGTACAACCTCATGTCAACATTTTATCTAAAACATTCAAGGATCCTATTCAACTATAATGCATTGAGATCATGCACCTTAAAATCCACTTTTTCAGTACATTATCTCTGGGCTTTTATTTTGCTTGAAGATTTTGATCAACAAGCATCCTGCTGAGTGCAAGACTTAATTAAAATGTCATCATCACCTCTTCATTATTATCAGTTCTTTATCTTTGTTCAAATTTTTTCCTTTGTTCTGCTTTTTGGATTATGCTAAGTATAGTATTGTGGTTTAACTTGTGAAGACAAAAATAGAGTGTGGTTGACTTATAATGATCCTTTTGCGAGGTCAAAAGTTCTAATAAAAACAAAAAATTATAAGACTTATAAGTTCAGGTTGCTTACAAAAGAGGCAAGTCAATCATATCAATAAGTGTGTGGAATGGTTGCATACAGGTCCTACATGCAAATCACCTTTGAGTGAGTCATCTCCGTGTCATCATGCAGTGCCAATGGCTCCTCATCAAGAAAGGAGATATAAAACATTGTGTCATATCGTCTGGGTAAATGAGCAGGTGTCAGCCAGTTAGACCACTCACTCAGGGCCCACACATCAGGAACACATTCAAATTTCCTATTGAAATTAAGATAGGAAAGAATGATAATTTAGGAAGATCAGATAATAACAAAACCTACAGGAAAGGAGAGGCAGAGAGAAGAGAATTTAAAGAGAGTGAGAAGAGTAGACAGAAAAATGAAATCTCAAAAGGGGGAAAATTTCTAACAGAGGTCCTTAAAACATGAAACCACTTCAAATCTTAGAGGAATTTACCCATTTAACTCTTACAGGAAATTTTGATTTTTAACATTTATGCAATACTGTCATTTATGCAATATTGTTTCTTTTCAATCCTTACCTGCACATAGTGAAAAACATGGAGGCATCTGCATGCACTTCTTTCCTCCAATTCTGAATACTATCTTTTTCAAGATGACTGTTTTGTTTATCAGAAGAGAAGCTCTTTAATAAAAGAATACCAGATTCCTCAAATGTCTCTCTGATGGCACAAATTCGTAATGCGATATCACTTGGTAAATCTGTGGATCCAGATTTCTTCACCACGGGTGGGCGTGGTCCTTGAACGTCGACAAGGGGTGTGAAGTTTGTGCCAAACTTGGTGAAGGACTGTTTAAATAATTCCATCCAGTCATTAGAAAAGTCAGCTTTGTCGATTACACCACCAGGGAAAACATACATGCTTGGCTTAAATTGAAAGAGAAGAACGAAATGGTTACGGAGAAGAATACATTCAGCTCATGGCAGATAAAACTGAGACAAAAATTTGCACAAAGTCACAGGCGATACCGGGTTAATTTCAGTACGAACTTACCATGAATGTACTTTTAGCGGCTCTTTCCAGTAACAAGACCCTCCAGTCAAAGGGACTCTTAAGTTGGCTATTTCTAGCCACCAAAATTAATGTGGCTGAATTTCGAATTAAAGGCCTAGTTGCACTCATTTTGTTCGTACGTTCCACTAATCCTCGTCTGTTTCTACGCTCTCTTCGGCGGACATGTTGAATTTGTTGACCAGGCCACTAAGCTCTCGATCCAGGTTCGCTCTGCTTAATAACATGGCGGCCTTCTAGGAACAATATGGCATCCTCGAACGCTCGTTACAGGAGAGTATTTTTGCGTGATTTGCTTCTGAATTTAAGATCATCATGAGTGCGAACTACATAAGAAGAATGGCTCTATTGAGAGCCAGGATTTTTGGGGATTTGACTCGTCAAGTAACTCCAAAGTAAGTTGAGTTTCGTCCCAACATACTTTTGCATCGTTTGCATTTGAAAGAGAATAATATACATTTGCTGGTTTTTCCTCTGTTCAGATCCTACAGAATTGTGGAGCACTTTTCCCAGAGACCCTTGGCAGATAAGCTTACTACTTATTACCCCCCTTTAAAGAAGTTTCAAAGTCTGCTTTTCAAACTCAGACATTATGGATTTTATACCGATCTTCATCTGGTAAGTCTAAAATCTACTGCTCTGCCCTTTCCTATGAGATTATTTACAGTACCATGAATAGTGAACTTCGATGTTAGATCCTCTCATTTTTTGTTTCACTATTGAGTCAACTGATGGGAGAGAGTTTAAGTGGTGCTAAAATCGTGTAAGAGAAGTCATATTTTGTCAAAAAGCCAGCTAGATTTGTATCGTGTTGTTTTGTACTGCTTATTTGTTTTTGCCATTTGAAATGAAAGGAATTACATATACATTGATATGATATAAATAAAGATATAGCATGTGGCGAGGAAACCCATAGGGAAACCAAGAGGCTTATGCAAACCACAGGCTCCTCATATTTTACAAAAATGAGGTATCAGATTTTTGGCACGATTTAAGTACAAAATATTTTTGGTTAAAAAGGAAAGAACACACTCACACATATATAAAAGAATGACAACAATTGCAGGCACTCAAACAAACCTATACCTAAGCAGCTTGAGAAAAATAGAAATAAATAAATAAATAACAAGGGAGTAAGAGGGATTCAACTAAGGAGTAATATTCACAATTTAGACTTGAACAGGGAAAGTTTGTCAACATTTTGGATTTCTGTATTCATTCAGAGAATTGAAAAATTTAGGTCCTTGGAACCATAAAGAAAACTGTTTGATATTTGTTCTGCAAGGTGGTATGTAAAAGGAATTACATTTTTTGGTATAATAGCAATGACTGCGACTTGACAAGGAAAACAATCTTTCAAAATTTAAGGTTTAAAGATGGTGGTTATTAATATTTTGCCAGAATTTCCAAGAAGAGATGGCTGCAAAGCGGAAGGCAAGAGGAAAAGGTCCTCCTAAAAAAGGTGAGTAGTATTAGTAGGGATCCAGTTGGGTTTTATTGTTGAGGTATCAAACAAGAATTCTAGAGGATCCAAAAATAAAAAAAATTAAGTGTTTCCTGTACTTCTCATTTGGGATTTATGTTTGTAGGAATTTTTAACCTATGATCATTAACTAAAATGCACTTTTGCTTCAGTTCAATTTTATTCATATCACCATAACCAGCTTTAGGTTCATTATTTATCAAACCTTTTTCCTATATTCCAATTATTATTTCTTTTTATCATTGCTTTTAATTTTTGCAGGTGAAGGAAAAAGGGCAAAAAAGAAGAAATAAAGGAACATCTGAAATTCTTGTCCAAATGCTGTATGCTATACTGTCATTGTTATGACATCATTTGGGACACGACATGTGTGAAATAGCATTACTTGCCTGGAAATATCAATAATGTCATGAGGTCATGTGAAGGAGGCTAAACTAAACTGGTTTTTTCTTTGCTCTTTGAAAAAGCTGTGTTCTAATAAGAGAATAAAAACTTGATACATTAGAGTAATGTATTTTTCTGTTTTGTGAGTGTGTGCACTTAGTTGTTGTTGTTTTTTTTTGGTTATTTGTACGAATCTTGGTATATGGCAGGCTTGGTAGTGGATTTGTTAAAAGTGATCATTACCAAGCCTAGAGAGCAAAAGTTGACCCCTGCCCTCCCCCTGTCAGAATGGTAAATATCAGAATGTCCTTAAAAGAAAAAATATATATAAAAAACTTGAGTCACTAATGTTCTTTGTTTGATTAATAATTTTTTTTTTCTTAATTTTTACACTGTTCAGCTGAGTTTCTTTTTTTTTAAACTTCGGGCGGAGGCTTATTTCCCTTCCCCTCCCCCAGATAGGATTGTGTCTGTCTACCGCTGCCCATCGACGCCTTTAAGCGGCTCCTACGATACAAATTGAGATTTCATCGAGTAACTAGATTGTGGATCATTTTGAGTGGGAAAATGGTTTGATTAGCAGTATTTTACCATAGAATTTTACTGTATCGTGTAGATAAGGAAATTTATAATTTTTTGAAATTTGAAAAACCCGCGTAGCGCATTGGATAGTTGGTGCTCACTTGACACTCCGCCGATGAATATTTCATTTTGTTGACAACTTCTTAGCGTTGTTTCGCCGCTATCTTCAGCTGTTTAGCTGGACGAATTTGAAAACAACCTCTATCATACAAGCACATGGCTGCAAATCGACGACTTTTGTGCCAGAAAAAGAAGTCCAGCCGCTTGATTTTTGACGGCACCTTGGTAACTGCTTTGTTTCGGCGTTAGCTTTCCAAAGAAACTATCAAATGAATTCTGCTCCAAAGTCATCGAGAGGTCGCAAGCTATCATCTCCCAATGGACAAAACCCTAAAGTGCCCGTAAATAATGGTAGAAGTTACACTAGGCACGATAAACAAGAGGAAGAGGTTGGTGACATGGATGCTCTGAGTGCATATGTACCAGGTATGAAGCTCTTTTACACACTATGTAGTAAACGATTTGTATTTACTTTACATCTCGACTTGTGTGTTTTAACTTATTATCCACCCGCTGATAAGTAGTCACGAGAAGTGTTCGCCATCGTACTGTCTATTATTTTTTTATGAAGCCCTCAGCTGCGCAGAAAATAAATACAACAGAGGATAATTATTTTCCTGTGATGTAAATGTCTTATTTTATGAGTTAAGTTCTTATTTAAGTGAAGTTAAGGGATTTATCTTAACGAGAATTTCGGGTGTAGATAAATCATCAAGACTCGGCCAAACTTGGTCAGTTGGTCGCCTAGATATTGAATATTCCTTTACACAACTACCTGTCCGTTTTTCTTGCTAATTACTACTGTTGCTTTTTATAGTTGCTTCTGAGAAAAGAAAGACATTTCAGAATTATTTGTTACGTTGTTAATTTGTTCTACTGGGCTTGTATTGTAAGTCTGTGTGGACAAAATTTCAAGAACAATTCACTTTTTGACAGAGTTGTGGCAGAACATGAGAAGTTTAAACAAAAGTCAAATGGAAAAAATTTAGATTTGTGGGCAGTGGAAAGAAATCAAATCCATATACATGTATGCACAAACAGTGCATAGTACAGATTTTCAATTAATATTAAAACTGGTTGCCGTAGTTTATTGTCATCAGTAAGAGCTCTCACGACCATCTGTTTAGCCTGTGGGCAGGCCTTTATACCCCTTTTTGGGTTAAACATTGTACCATTATACCATTTGTATTGCCTCTTACGGAAAAAGCTCTAATTATTGAGAAACTCCTGGGTTAAACAGTACCAGTAGGAGATTCAGTCGTTTAGAAGTGGTGTCAAATTTATTCCCCATCTGAAGAAATAATAGTCTCTAAAAACCAATCAGAGACTAAAATTTTTTAAGTCTGTTGAGTATCCCTACAGCTTGTTTGATTGAATTCTTCAGTTGTTTAGCTGGTCAGCTTGCTGGACAAATTGACTCATTGATCATGTGTTTTTGCAGATTCTTGTCATAATTCATATTTTCATTGGTTAGGATAAGGGCAAACAATTGCACTCATCATAACTTTTTGTGGATCATTATGAAGCAGGAAAAATATATATTATTTTATCCCTTCTCTTCCAGATCCTGATGAGCCTCCAACCAGAGATGTGACAAGTCCCTCGAAATCTGGTGTGGCTTATTTAACAGGGAACCTGATTAGGAGATTGACGAAAGAAGAGAATATTTCCCAAGTAACATCTTTACATGTAACATTAGGAAAGGACCTCAACAAGAAAATCAAGGTATATTTCTACTCTTCTTACCTTCATTAAGTAAAAAAATCAGCATGCCTGGTCAGATCACTTTCAATCTTCATAAAAATCCTTTCTTCCTTTAATTTGCTTAAATTACCCTTGACACCCTGACATCAGTATGCATATTCTCCATACTATTCTCAATACATTTCCTAAGGTGCTGACAAGGAGAATTTCTTTAACAATCAAGAGCTTCTTTAGTTTGTGATCCTTTCCTTTGTACTCTAAATTAGGCCCTATCTGATGAAAAATCTTGAAGATCCTGAAAGATACATGACTGTTTATAAGGGTTTTTTTAGCTAACCGCCTCCTGGTTAGTTCAAACTGCCTCCCAGTGAGCTCAATTGGTTAGAGCGCCGGATTGTGTTGTGCGGGAGGTCGAGGGTTCGAGCCCCAGCCAGACCGGTACTCATGGTCTTAAAATAAGTGAGGAGAATTTGCTACCTTTCTATAATAAATGGATTGATATTCTAGTCTTCTTGCATAAGTACAAATAAACTGTAGGCCCCATCTCCTGCAGGGCTAAGGGTAGGAGACATCAATTTCCCACGCACGAGATTACTGTGTAGTGGATGTCCTCCCTGGGGTGGGATGGGTGGCAATTGGCCTGAAAAGCCCCCATGGGGAATGGTCAACTAACGTATCTATGTATGTATGTATGGTTTTTTCCTAAATATAACCTAAATAAATGCAGAACTTTACTTGGAATTATAGTCACTTGGTAGAATACAATAAAACTAACAAAAAGTATGAAATATAGCTTAGTCTATGCTTTTTGTTTCCTTTCAGTACATTGAAAACTTGGAAAGTCTAAGGAAACTTATTTATCTGAACCTGAACAACCACATGATAGAGAAAATAGAAAAACTGGATCATTTAACCCAGCTCAGGGAACTTCACTTGGCCAACAACCGTATTTCAAAGATAGAAGGTGTGGACTGTCTGGTACATCTGACTGTTTTAAACCTGAATGGGAACATGATTGAAACTTTACCAGCTCCTGTTTTCAAGAAGCTTAGAGAATTACAGACTTTTCACATTACACATAACAGACTTGCAAGTGTAAGTAGTACCTGACCCTTTATTATTTTGATATTGTGAATGTTGTTTCTTATCAATTCCTTTAGAGTGTGATTCTCCCAATCAGAAACCAGACTTCATCAGAAACTTAAAAACTATAGCTCACACTGTGCCACCAGTTAAGCTTTAAACCCCTTACTAGGACTGGAGAACCACTATAAATTGTTTGAATAATTTTCCTTTCATGTATTTAATGCAGTGCTGTACCTCAAAATGTGTGTTGACTTCCAAAATAAACACAGTGTAAGTAAAACTGTATTTTTACCTACTCAGGTTATCTCTCCATTTTTATCCTGGAAAATGTCCAGATATCACCAATTGTTCTAAACATAAGCCAAAGAAAGTATTAAGGAAGATTTCCTATGAACTTCCACGAGGCAAGAGGATAGCACAAATCTAGGTTTTGACCAACATCAACCCCTTTCTTTAATTTCCTGCCTAAGTTCCTACTGTAGATCTATATCCACCTACCAGGATTTACTTCTGTCAGAACTCTTGATCCAGAAATACATGTAGGTGGCTACACCCAACGATTACCTTATTATTTCAACTTACTTTTCCCCCTGTTTTATCCTATAGCATGTTGAGGTTACCAAATTGAGGCCTCTTCAAGATCTGAACAGTTTTTCCATGGAAGGCAATCCCATGGCAGACATGGAACATAGTCATTTGTTTGTGATTTTCCAGCTGAGGTCATTGAATTATTTAGATGGAAAGAAGGTTTCTGATGAAGACAGACAAATGGCTGACAAACGATATGCTCAAGGTAACTTTCAAAATGTACTTCACCAATTTTAAAATGTACTTGATATTGTATGTATCTTGGTTTCTGAATTAGCCAATCAGATTTCAAATACATTTTGAATGAGATCTCTGGGAAATAAGTTACTGTGTCAACTAATCATAATTGATTTGTAAATATGAACCGTGCTGTTCAGGAACTAGGTTCCTCAACAAACCAATCACATGGAAGAATATATGTCATGATGTCATGACTCAATTAAGGTTTGTCTGTTTTATTTAAGTCAATACCAAATGAAACAGTCTTACATGTACTCACCTATAGCCTGTATTCATTAGATGTTTTCTTCATTTTTTTAAATTTATTTTAATGGGTCTTTTTTTTTTTAATTTTCTCAGAGGAGGTCAAAAGGCTGGAGGGTGAAATTAATCGACAGAAAAAAGAATATGAAGTACTCTTGGAAGAAAATTGCCAAGCCCTTGAAGAGTTACAACAGCTGAAGAAGTGGAACTCTGAACAGAAAACCCAGAACCTGGATCTATCGCAGAAAATTAAGGACTTTCAAAGACAGCTTGAAGCAAAGGAAGAATTGGTTTGTAATTGTTCATTTGTCACTGAGAGTCACAATTCAAAGTACTTGTAATCTCACATTCCTGAAGGATTTAAACTACATTTCTGGCTCAGTACATAATTTTGATTCAAGGTTTTATTAGGAGAGAGCCAGCCTGTCTGGCTTTCTGACCTGTTTTGCATTTCCTCTTTTGTTTTTAGTTAGCCAGCAAGACCTCTGAACTTTCTAAGGCTTGTGAAAAGCAGTTCAAGCTGGAACAAGAACTTGCATTTTATAAGTTGGATGCCAAGTTTGAACACCTTGGGATGCTGCCACTCCCAGAAGGAGTTGAGGTACTTTGGGGGAAGGCAGGCTGGAAAGGTCTTGTGTTCCAAGCAATTGTGCTGGTTCACAAAGTTATTTTAAGGTAACAAATTTTGTTGTAATTTAGTACTCATTTTTTCCCCTGAAGTTTGGAGACGGTGAAGAAGATGAAAGCCCATACATTGGGAAAGCTCGGTTTAAACCAAACAAATTTGCTAGGAAATCCAATATCATGAGTGGTGAACAGCATGGTCAGATGACAACACTACACTCAAGACCGAGTGATAAGTATGATGCTCAGAATAAACAAGTTCAGCAAGAAATACATGAGGCTTTGGTGCAAAACTTAGAAGACAAAGAGAGAGCAATAAAGCAAGGTATATATTTTAAAGGTGGCATAATTGATTAGAGAACAATGAACATATTATTATTTTAGATAGACCGGTACTTGTGACTGAGTTAAGACTCTTCATGCAATAAACGAATAAAACTTCTCAACTGAAGCTTTTTCAATATCATACCTTTTCGTGGATAACAGTTTGATTCACTTTATTCTAAAAAGGGATAAGAGATGTAAAGAGTGATGAAGCGACACGTGAAACTGGGTGATATTTAAAACACCCTGCCACTGTGATCTCACCGTAGTTGACTCTTATAAGTACAGAAGCCAATTATGCACTGTGATAAATGGGGAATTATACTAAATCGAGTGTTGATTACTCGGGCAGCCGAGGGTGTTCTTTTACAGCTGACTGACCAGCTAAACAGGAGGAAAGCTCAGCTGAAGGAGGCAGGAGATAAGCTTACAATGCTTCAACAAGCCATCAATGATCAGGTCTGACAATTAATGAATAGCTGCTACTAGTTATCAGAAGTGCAAAGAAAAAAATGAACCAAACGAATAAGGTGGACGTTATATCTCCTCTCTCTGATCTCTCCAGGCGCATTTGTTGGGTGAAGAAGAAAGAAAACTTATTGATGCAATAGCAGATAAGAAAAACTATGTAAGTGAAGTATTGTTGGCTTTAAGCCTCTCTTTGAGTTCCTTGATTGCGAGAACGTTCTTTTGATTTGCGAGTAATTCTTGCCTCTACAGATACGGAAGCTTCAGGAAGTTGCCAAAGAGTTGGAGGAGCAATTGAAAAATATATCAGATGAATTGAAACAGAGAGAGGCTGAGACCGAGAAGCTGAGGCAGACCATAAGGAATACGCCCCCCAGTGACCCTGCATACGTTCGGACATATGCTTAGATAAGAGCTCTTTCTGGTTTGTGTGATAAGCGAGTACTGATTGTTCAGTTTCAATTGTGTTGTTAAACCATAACCCAAGTAATCACAGCGACCCATCGCGTTGAAGGGCAACATAAAAAGCTTTCATTAAGAACTTAACGCAAATTCATCAATTACATCGGGTGGACTTGAATGAACAAGTCACAGTAGCTTTCGATTTGCATCTGATTGGTCGATAGAATAGTCGGCAAAGTTCGTAGACAGATCACAGAGCAGAGTTAAGGAAGAGTGAACCATTGCAATCCATGGAACCGTTCAAGATTCTGCTCCGACAGATATATAAACTTCTAAATAAACTCTTTTTTTTTTTTCTCTCTCTCTCTCTCTCTAGTCCCACCTTCAGGCACGTTTGGCGGCAAAAGAACAGCAGTTACTCGAGTTGAAAGGTGAATACGGCAAACTGAAACAAGACAATGACAGAGCAAAGGAAAGATTACAAGAAGAGATAGCTGCTGTTAAACAACTAGAAGCACAATTAGCAGCACTGAGTGAGAGCTTTTTATAAATATGTATTATGTTCCCATCCAAGACGTTTTATGTTGAGATTTTAATTCAGTTCAGGGATTGTGGGCCATGTTCACGCCATCGGCAAACAACAAGAATTGATCTTTCAAGCGCTGTTTGCCTCACAGTCTCTTGATAACTGATGAAAGAATGGTAAAATCGATTGATGGTAGGAAGTATATCTCTATTTTTTTGTGCAATGTTTATACGGGTTTGAAGAAAGATGGGAGAAGTCAGATAAACACGCGCTGGACGAACACGCACTGGACGAGTGCGTAGATGCTACACGCGTGAGCGGACAGTTACGTTTTCTGTTCCAGTTCTGAATTTATCCAATCATGGCGATAAGCGGAAAATTCTTCCAAAATACTTAACTTGTTCATAGGCAAGTGGTCTTGACTTCATTGTGCAGAGAAAAAATCCTTTCAGGAAATTATGAAGATTAGGAAATGTTCATTCAATTTGCTGGATTCTTTGCAAGTGGAACAGGGGCAACAGCGGAAATATTATTTATAACTGCTTTTATTTCATGGTATTTCCTGTAGACTTTTGACATTGTAAATGCTTTGTACATCTTTTCCATTACTTGCCCTCTTTGTGATCGTAGGAAGAGAGAATGGTGACCAAGATAAGCTAAAAGAAGAGCTGAAGAACATCATAGATGATTTGAATGATAATTTAAACTCTATGAAACAGCAAGTCGCTCACCAAGCGAAACAGATCAGTCAGCTTCAACGTGAGAAGGATGCGCTGGGACAGCGATTGAGGGACATGCAGGGACAAGCGGCCAACAACAAACAGTTGAAGGATAACCTCGCTAAACTACAGCAGCAGTTGAAATGTGAGTGTTAAAGCACAGTTGTTTTGATCTACCCGCGTGTTTGCTGGGGCAATCGAACGTCGAACGTATTCCGGAGTTATTTTGTTTTTGTCTCCGCGTTTTCTGTAGGCCTAGACAGAAAGCTTTGATAATGTCGGAAAATATGTTGGTTTTGTTTTTGTTTCGTGTGTCTGTTACTGCGTTGTTTTATTGAACGGAAAGGGAAGTCAACTGCGTTATTCAGTTACCTTGATACCTTGAAGGCTGAATTTGTTGGAAACATTCTTAGAGTTTCTGATTTTCTTCATCAAAATGAATAACTGACATAGTGCACGTATTTCCTTTGTGATACATGTACACCATACCCAAGTGGCTGAAGATGCACTGGAGCGGGAGACAAAGAATTGCGAGGCTTTACGTCGGCGATTATCCAATGCCGAGTCACAGGCAGCCCAAGGATCTACTCTGGAACCGCTGTTCACTGAAACAAAAAACAGATTACAGCAAGCGGAAGCTGAAGTCGCCAGGCTACAGAATGCCCTAAATAAGCTAAAACAACAACTGCAGGTGCAAAACCTTGCGTTTATTTGAGTATCCACTTAGTAATGGCCGGGCGTTCCTCATGAAGAAAATTGAACAGGAATGTGCTATGTCATTTTTTGTTAATGTTGTTGTTTTGCCTCGTGCCAATTGCAGAAGACGCTTAGAAGACTGAATATTATGCTTGTGAAGGATTGATTTTTGTTGTTCGTTTCATTCGAAGGACGATCGCAGAGCCGCAGACGAAAGATTAAAGAAAGAGCAAGAAAAAGTTGACAAAGCTTTACAAGCTGCAAGGAATGCCGGATATAAAGACAGACAAGTAAAAGATCTGGCTGCACAAGTTGAAAATCTCTCGGTATGTATACGAGTATGTATGGATCATATTATGTATGTTCGTTATGTAACACCGATAGGCTTGATAAATCTTTCGCTCAGACATCCCAAATTGTATCCAATCGTGTATCTTAGCCTGTGCGCACGATATGTTTTAATCGATAAGAGATCCTAACTTTTTGTAAGTAACGAATTGATATGACTGTAGAATTCTAGAAAGTCTCAACCAAAACCATTGCAAGTCCTGGTCAGTTCCGTTAGTTCATTGAAAACTGTTCTAATATTTCTATGCAAAGGTTAGTTTGACGGAGTGTATTATTCTTACCAGGCGAACAATGCTTCTCTTGCTCGGCGTTTGAGGGACGCAGAAGATGAACTGAGCGGTCTTGACAACTTACTTGACAAAGAAGACGTATTGGAGAGGCTCGGTGAGCTGAGAAACGATATCAACAGGAAACGATCTGCAGTTCGTGAACCGCTCAATGATCAGGATGACCTGGGGCGAGCTCTTGCAGAACTTCACCGTAAATACTTGGACCTTATGAGAGATCTGGAGCGAGAGCGACGAAAACAGGTCTGTACCTGTTAGCATTGCCCTTAAATAAAGGGGAAATGATTGGCCTCTCAAGATGGCCACTCAGTTAGAAATCCAGGTGATAGGTCTATGATATTTTCACGCGAAATTTTGTTTCAAAAAGATGCTTGTGGGGAAGATGTACACCTGTGCATGCCTTTATAGCCATTTGTGGAATATGAAAGCCGTGTCTTTCTAGAATATTGCCTTCAGATGGAAGGAAACTTCGTAAGGAAAGCAGATGAACACTTAAGACGAAATGATAAATCCAAAATGGAACACTGATGGTTTTGGATTGCGGAGTTTAACGAGCTACACTTTCAAATGTTAGGTTGTACTATTTAGGAAATACAAACCGTGACTGTAAGTCTGATTTGTCCAGATTATGATTGAAATGTTTCTGTTGGCAGCCTGACGGAGAGATAGAAGGATTACAAGCTAGACTACAAGATGCCGAAAGAGCTCTGAAACAAGCAAGGGACAGAGCTTCACAGGTAAATATGGAGTATTGCCATTGATGTGCGGAGCTCAGCGAAACAGATTGTCGTGTTTGTCTAGTACCGGCCGCATCGTTAGTCACTTCGTCACCAAATAATAAAATACAAGGACTGTTTGTGGTTAAAATTGGATTTAAACTGTATTGGGTCGATGATGCTAGTCACTCCTATGTTGAATGAAATAAGGGATTTGTTTTAGTTTCTAAGCTTGCAGGTGACAAAGAGGAGAGAGAGAGCAAGTTAAGAAGAATGTCAGACGAACTGAGAAAACTGAAAGACAAACTTGCTAAACAAGAGACAATGGAGGATGAGGTTTGTTTCAATATTTTTAAGATAGGGTTATGTTTGAAACACGCTACTAGCATGCGTGTGGCCAGACTTGACTGAGTTTTCGTCACAAAAGATGATCGAACTGACACTTTCAATCTTCTTCCCCAAAAAAATCGCGAAAGGTTTTTTTTTAAGGCCATTCCTATTTTCTGAGTTCACGGGAGGATCCTAAAATAACCACTTCCAATACGAAGTACATGTTCACTCACGGAGAGAGCGGATAATTTGACATCCCAAGCCGTACACAAATAAGTCGACGAGAAGGATTACTTTTGAATCAGGCCCTTAATTCTCCAGCTTGATACTCTCTTGACCACACTTAAATATTGTTGAGCTGCATGAACAAGACCAGTTTGAACCCATGTGCGTTAACTTAGGTTTCTTTATCTTGGAGCGAAAACGAATACGGGAAGTGACTCCGGATTGGGCTGTTTAGACTACATGTGCAACCGATTTCTTGCGGTATCGAGTGACCATCACAGCTTTGCAAAAATTGTACTCTCAGGGAAGTTCTTTTGGTTACTTGATTGATACTTTAGAAGGCGGCGAATTGATGCTCATAGGGAAAAAAAACTCTTAGCAAAATTTTTATTTTTGTCAAAAGAAGATCTCGATTCAAGGTTTAAAGGGACCCGTTCCTACAAATTTAGTAGTTTAGTTGGTAGTAGTACCAAGCTCATATCTTGGACTCACAGTTAGTCTCTATTAATGTTTTCAGATTTTGCAATTGATTTGATGACATGTATTTTTTTATGGTGCGGATAAAGTCGTTGCTCGGCCAGCATTCAGATCTACTCAAAAACTCATTTAATAAGAACATTATTTTATTTATTGTCAAGATGAGAAAGGGTAAAATGTTTTACAGTGCTTATCCAGGTTCTTTTCTTGTTCAGCTTGAAAGAGAGAAAGCGGAACATGCAAAAGAGATGTTTGGACTGGAGAAACAAATAGCTCAGCTAAAGGATCAGCTTAACGAGGCTAGACGCGGCTTGCGGGATCATGTAATCTTTCATTTTCTCTTGGTGCATGAGGGACAATCTTGATTTATTTTATTGTTTTCCTAGATCTTCCTATCCTTAAAAGCCATTTTTTATTCACTCCAATTTTGTTTTGATTGAAGCAATAGAAGATATTTTTTTTCAGAGCTCTATAACGCGATAAAGCCACGCGGGATGTTGAGAGAACACGAGGAAAGCTTAGAAATCATACGAGCCGAAGGCGAGTGATTTCTAAGCTTTCCTCGAGTTCTGCCAACGTCCTTAGTGGCTTTATCACGTTATAGAGCCCAGAAAAATGTGTTCTATTCCTTTGATGACATAACCAGTTAAATTGAGGCTCTATAACTTGATAAAGCATCCGCTTGGAAACAGAACAGACTAATCAGACGATGCGTACTATGTTCATTCATGTTATGAACCTTCTAGTTATTTTGAAAGCAAATTGCTCAAACTCCCCCTCTAAGTCCCTATCTTAAAATGTGAATGTTTTGTTCAGTTGGCCAGTGCCAGAGCTCCACTTCAAGCCAAGATAGTAGACATGGAAGACGAAATGGAACATCTACAGGACAAATTTGACAAAGTGAAAGCCGAAAATGAGAGGGTACGATGGTTGTCTGATTCGGAGGTTATTAAAGTGATCTATTTACGGAAATGAAGGGGTATGTTAAGGATTGTTTAAAAATGTTCTGTGGCTTTCATACCTCTAGCTGAAAGGAGTCATCGCAGAAGCTGAACAAGGTAGACTGGAGTTAGAGGACAGACTGGCAGAAATGATGAACAAACTGAGGGAGGCGCGGGCACAAGCTGAGGCAGCGGTGAGTCTGCGCGTGACTGCTCATGGGTGGTTTTGTGAATTGCATGTATGCAATCATTTTGAGGTTGAAGGCTGGTAACTTTCCTCGTTTTTATACTCTGTTATTCAGAGGCGCGCAAACACTGAGGGAGACTTCTAAGTAGCAGCTAAACTGTTAGTCATTGTTTTCGCTGTTTTTTGTTTTGTTTTGTTTTGGTTTAACGCTAAAAAAAAGGAACGATAGTTTAACCTCCGCTTGGACATGGTTGTTGATAAAACTTAGTAATATGTTGTTCCTCCACAGAATGGGAGATACGCGCGGCAAAGTCAAGCTTTAGAAGCTGAAGTGAAAGCTCTTGAGAACGAACTCGAGCGAGCCAGGAATCGGTTGAAGTCACTGCGAGCTCAAGCGGATGAAAAGGTTGGTGATGTAATGTTCGTCAAATTCTTCCATTTGAGCAATTTTAAACTGACTGTCGTGAAGTAATCCGGGATGCTTTGGTTTGCTTCATAACGCTTTGTGATAAGTCTAGAGTAACGCTCTCGACCAAGAAGGTCTCATTGTTTCATTTGTGATAAGTCTAGAGTAACGCTCTCGACCAAGAAGGTCTCATTGTTTCATTTGGGTACTAACCTTTGTACTGTTTGGTCTTTGTTAAAGATTTGGTTCAGCTTGGTTTACAACGCTTGAATTCAAAGAACTCTATTCCTCGACATGCAAGATTTGTGAAGGGAACCATGAACAGGGGTGATTTGCGCATTAACTCTGATATATTTTTCTTGCTTTTCGTTTATTCTACAGCTGCAAGCAGAAAAAGAGAAAGCGGCTGCAAAGATCGGCGGTTTGGAGGATGAAATTGATGGTTTAAAGGAGCGACTGAAAAATCTTAAGTACAAAGCGGGACGAGAGGTAACGCTTTTGTAACAATCATGCAAAAATCACTTCTTGCGTTTAATTGAACAGTCCTGATTCAAATGAGCCAAGTAACGGTACGCGGGTATTGCGGTAAAAAATTGTAGCCTAAAAGTTTGTCATCTGCAATCTCTGTTTATCTTCTTCATTCCCAGACATCCTGGTTTTTGTTTGTAAGGGGCTGCGTCGGTGGGAGTAACGAAATAATTTGGAGATATCAACAAAGTTGAAGTGGTAAATTGGCCTCCGTAACGATTACAAAAGCTGACGTTTCGAGCGTTAGCCCTTCGTCGGAGTGAATAGAAGAAATGTGGGTTGTGTGTGCTTTTAGAGGTAGAGAATGGAGCTACGTTATTGGTGGGAACATGCCAACGAGAAAAACAAGAATAAATTAGTGGTATGAAAAGCGTGGAATGAATTAGTGGAATGAAAAGCGTTCGGCAGTCTAAATCCCACAGGGATCAACGAACGCTTTTCATTCCACTAATTTATTCTTGTTTTTCTCGTTGCCATGTTCCCACCAATAACGTAGCTCCATTCTCTACCTCTAAAAGCACACACAACCCACAATTCCTCTATTCGCTCCGACGAAGGGCTAACGCTCAAAACGTCAGCTTTTGTAATCATTACGGTGGCCAATTTACCACTTCAACTTTGTTGATATATCCAAATTATATAATTTTCTCCTTTGTCTTTTTCATTCTTTCGGGAGAAATATTTTTTTGACCATCTCCTCCTTGGTTTATGCGGAACAAAGTCATTCTTAGTGGCTACGAGGATAAAATTCATTGAGAATACAGATGCTACTGCTTCCTACAAAATGCTTGCCTCGCTTGACCTGTAAACAGTACATGCTTCTTCCTTGCCTTTCTTTAAGAACGTGTTTAGTCACTTGAGCTCCTGAATCACAATTCTTAAATTTTTGTCTTGACACTAAAAGGGGATCGATTAGTTTTATTCCGCAAACTACACTTTAATGGTTACCCAGACTTGTCACGCATAATGCGCTATGAGGTTATGGATAAATTATATGCCGTATAGTAACATCATTTTTTCCGGCAGTTGGACGAAATAAGAGATGCTGGAGAAAGGAAAATGCATTATCTGGAAAACAAAATGGCTGATTTGCGACATCAGCTCGACGACGAACGGGCTCGAGCTGACGAACAGGTAATGATGCCTTCAAGCGCATTCTATTGTTTGATTTGATAACCATACCACTAGAACTTTTTAGTACTCGAAGCTGTGACTATTCTTGTCGCCAGGGTAAGTAGGGAAAATTTCGGCAAATTAATTTATAGTGTCGCTGATGTGCCAACTTCTGTCTACATCAAAGATAACGCTTTTATAAACTGTGCACCCGATACTAGCAGAAGCTTGTAACCCTCCATGTTGATTATTTCGGATATGAAACCATAGATAGAATCTGTTTCCTCGCAACCTTGACCATGAATTACATATTTAAAAAAAATTGAACAAAAACAAACTCCGTACTTAATTATCCGCCTTTTTGCGCATGTGAATGCTGGGCTAGAGGTTAGAGACGGAGTCGATTACTGTGAAGGAATTTGAGTTCTCTGTCTGCTTTATTTTAATAGCTTAGAAGAGCTGAAAGCAAAGAAGCGGGGTTACAGAGTCTGCTGGGAGAAACTGAAGCTAATTTGAAGGTACTTGGTTGACTAATACAGGGCACGCTAAAACGATATATATTTTGTTAACTCCTAGACTTGCTGTATTATGATGATAAAATCACGAGAGATTGGTTATACTGCTCCATATTGAGAATTTTATTCATCGGAGCACTGAATTGGAGTATACTGTGAAGATGGTCTGTAAGGGCATGACGGCGAAGTGCGCCTCTGTAATCAAATGTAAACATGATGAATGATGTTCATACTAATCGTTCGATCCATGACCATGACCGCACCAACCATCTCTGGTACAAATCCCCGAAGTTATGGGTCAGTTTTGTTCTTTTCTAACGTGATCCTCAACCGTTGTTTGTTTGTTTGTTTGTTTGTTTGTGTTTAGAGATCTAATCACCAAAGCCAGGAACAACAGGCCAAGCTTCGAGAATTGGAGAATCAGATTGAGGGTCTGAAAAACACTCTGAAAGAAGCCGAAACACAAGCAATAAAGGTAACAAACGCTTGAAACAAAAATCATTAGTTTTTACCTTACAAATTCTGCATTCGTCCAACTTAGATGACACATTTATAG